AGTGGAGGAGTGGGCCATTTTTTGTCGAACCCAACAAAACTAAAAGAAACCAAAGAAAACTGTTGTGGCCAGTAAGGGGAGACTTTTAGATTTCATTGTTAAATGATTACTTTAGAATTTCTAGATCTGTGGAGGATGAATATTCATTAAGATTTGGTTTATCTTTCCAAATCCATAGACTTTCTAGGATAATGAGATCATACTCAAAAGTGGATGTATCAATAATTTTGAAATTATCAAAAGCTAGTTTATGGTTTTGAATTTCAGAATGATCTCCAATAGAAGATTTCATTGGTCTGCTTAATTTAATGTTATTATTTCTAAATGAATATCCTCTGTGTTCCTCAACACGCATAAAAAGGTTACGGGATGTCTTCCCAATGTAGGTAGCATTACAGTAACCGCATGAATATTTATAAATGATTGAGGACCTTAAGGGTTTAGGGATTCTGTCCTTGAATTTTAAAAGATTGCCAATAGTTTGGGAAGCAATAAATATTAAACCTTTAACCTTAGATCTTTAGAAAATGTTAAACGAGTTCATGAAAAGAAACTTTTCAATTTAGGCCTGGATAGTAAAGATGAATATTTAAATCATAATAAAGTCGTATTTAATGTTTCTAAGTTTCATTGTCACCTAAACTTAAAGATTTATTAGCTAAAGGTCTGAGATTTGGTATCCCACCATCTAAACTAAATTTCAATCACTCTCTTACCTTTCGAGAAACTATTAAAATCTTTACTTCAACATAAACTTTCTAGTAACATTTCAGAGCCTAAAAAAAATTCCATTAAAAACTTAGCCTTTTCCACTTTTTACTCTTAGAAACAAGAAATGCTAGATGATGGTATATCAAAAAAAACTTTGGGCTTCTCACAGACTTATCAAAGAACCCTGATTTGATTGTTACAAAGCCGGACAAAGGTCAAGGGGTAGTACTTACTATACTGGATTTCATAAATTAAATGTGATTTTAGAAGATGAATCTAAATTTGTTGGACTAAAAAAACCTGAAACTTTAATAATTAAAAATGAAGATAAATAAAACTCATTATTAGGAAATTTGTAAAAGAAGAGATTATTGATGACAAAACTTATTCTTCCCTGTTCACATCAGGCTCTAGACCTGGTATTTTATATGGTCTTCCAAAGATTCATAAACCTAATGTTCCCATTCGCCCAATTCTATGTGCACTAGGCACAATTAACTATAAAGTCAATTTTTTTTCATCCCTCTCTTAAAGAATCTTACCATAAACCAGTATACCATACGTAATACTTTTACTTTTGTCCAAAACCTTCTCAATATTCCTAATGCCAATGAATTTGTAATGGCAAGTTTTGATGTAACAAATAAATTTACTAATGTACCTTTGGATGAGACTATTAATATTATTGTGAACTTATTGTTTAGAAATTCTAACTATGTGTTTGGTTTAAATCAAGAACATTTTAGAAAATTACTCAATATAGGTACAAAGGATATTTCACTCTTCTTTAATGGTAAATTGTATAAACAGATTGAGGGTTTTGCAATGGGTAGCCCTGTAGGCCCTACACTAGCAAATATATTTATGTGCCACAATGAAGAAATTTGGCTTAACAATTGTCCTTCAGACTCAAACCAGTGCACTACTTTAGATATGTTGATGACACTTTGTTGTTATTTAGATCTCCAGAGCACATCTATAAATTCTTAGAATACTTAAGTAATAAGCATCCCAATATCAGATTCACAAGTGATGTTGAAAACAATGGTTCCCTCCCTTTCTTAGATGTTAATATATCTGGGAATGATAATTCTTATGTGATTTCTGTTTTTCGGAAACCAACATATACAGGCCTCACCACCAAATTTCGCTCTTATATCCCTGCAAAATACAATGGTAATTTGATTTCTACTCTCATTTACAGGGCTTATAAGACCTCTAAGAATTATTTGATTTTCTCTAACATTCTCAGAAAGAATGAATATCCTTTGATTTTCATATTTAGAAAGACTTTATCACTAACATTCTCAGAAAGAATGAATATCCTTTGATTTTCATATTTAGAAACATTAAGAAAACTCTAAATAATCTCATAATTCACCATCTAACTCCATTGACTGTTCCCAAGGATAAGATCTACATGAAATTACCATATTTAGGCTCTGCCAGTTTTAATCTTAAAAGGAAATTGACCAGTCTCATAAAAAACAACAACATTACTCTACTGTAGATCTCAAATTAATATTTACTGCTTCCCAAACTATTGGCAATCTTTTTAAATTCAAGGACAGAATCCCTAAACCCTTAAGGTCCTCAATCATTTATAAATATACGTGCTGTAACTGTAATGCTACCTACATTGGGAAGACATCCCGTAACCTTTTTATGTGTATTGAGGAACACAAAGGATTTTCATTTAGAAAATAATAACATTAAATTAAGCAGACCAATGAAATCTATTAGAGATCATTCTGAAATTCAAAACCATGAACTAGTTTATAATAATTTCAAAATTATTGATACATCCACTTTTGAGTATGATCTCATTATCCTAAAAGTCTATGGATTTGGAAAGATAAACCAAATCTTAATGGATATTCATTCTCCACAGATCTAGAAATTCTAAAGTAATAATTTAACAATAGTTTCTAAAAGTCTCCCCTTCCTGACTACAACAGTTTTCTTTGGTTTCTTTAAGTTTTGTTGGGTTCGACAAAAGCGGCCCATGCCTCCAATGCCGAGGCATAAGAACGGACGTTCCTCCTTGCAGGATGTATTTTTCTGCTTTTTACTTCATATTTTTAGGTTTGTAACAATCAATTTATGATTATTTTATAGTACAAGTGTTAGACTTTCAATTAAACTTAATTAAGGGTTGATAAAAGTTTGAATTTTGACTGTAATTTCCAAATAATTGCAACCGGTTTCCACTGGGATTACACTTGAGTCCAAATCATTTTATGTCCTCCCCATTTCATGGTGAATTAAGGTTATTATCAATTTAACTCTACATTAGTAATGTTTCATTGTTGTCTTAATTGATATTTTGACTATGTAACAATAGAATTTGTATGATTTTGATAATGGTTAAGTGTGATATAAGACTTTTCTAGTCAATGTTCTCTATGTCATTTGTATTGTTTATGTTTAAGCTTCAGTATTTTGTATTCTAATTTTAATGTAATATGAAGAATTCATTGTTTGATTCAGTTTATGTTCTTGATATTGTCATTGTTTAACATGTTCCAAATAAGTTAATTCTACATGTGAATGAATGTTTCACTGAAGATGGGTGAAGTAAACCCGAAACGTTTGAGTTCCACTATTAAAGCAAAGAAAATTAACACTTATTTGTTCAACCCTAAGGATGTTATTTCTGGCAGCGGTAATGCTGAGATTTATTATACTGCTCCGCTTCCCACCTGAAGTTCTATACTGCCTCGCCCTTTCCACCCTGAAGTTCTCCCTCTTACTACCTCCTTTAGTACTACCATATACTGTCTATAGGATTACTCCTATATCCTAAGTATTACCTATAGCACTCATTAATATACCCATCTCTCTTCATGTTACATATACTACTCTATATTATCGCTGACTCTCTTCTATTATAATTAACCTCTAATATTACTTATGTACCACACACGTCGCTTATACTCTTCTATCTATCTTACATCAATCTTATACATATTACTTCCTTCTTTATATATATATTATATACATAGATTACTACTATGATATATATTATGTATATACTGATTATATATCATATTACTATTACTCCTTATCTACTATATAATCTATTTATCATACTTATATATACTATATACTATATTACATCTCATTCATATTACGATATACACACACATTCATCCCACACATTACCACACATCTTCACCTTCACCTTCACTCCATCCTCACTCTACTCACCTTCACTACCCCTCCACCTCACTCCACTCCACTCCACCTCACCCCTCACTCTCATTCACTCCAATTACGAGCATATATATATATATACTAACTATACTTCATTATATAATTATAACCCACATACTCTATATATATAATTGCGTGCTATATCATCCCTATTATACATTCTAATATACAGCTATACTTATATATACTCTATTACTTACTATAATTAATATTATAGTATATGAACACCAACGCACAAACACCCAAACTCCCACCGTGAACACCAAACTGAAAATGAACTAGCCCCCTCACCCATTGAGAACATGAAATATACAGCCTGTGACACGTTTCCGATACCCTTCCCGCGAGTTCCTAATCCCAGACCAAAAAAAACCCTCCCCGGAAATTCGTGACAATGATCATATACAGTCCTTCACCGTTTCCCGAACATCTTTCCCGCCAGTCCTCATCACTGACCTCAATACCGCAACTCCATTCTTCCCTGGTCTTTTTGTCCTGTCTGTAGGACAACTCTGCTATACTGACGTCTCTCCCGCATACCGCCCCCCGTCCTCCCTTCCTTGCTTCATCTGTCTCCACTTTCCCCACCTCTCAACTTCGTGCGCCTTCATGCTTTCTCATTCTCCATATAATATTACTCTCTCTCTTATCTCTCTCTTCATATACTCTCGTCTCATTACTCTTCATTCTTCACATTCTTCTCATATACTCTCCTCTCATCATTATCTCCTATCATTATATACTATATCATATACTATCTACATACACACATCTACTCATTTCCCACACTATCACTCTTCTCTTACTCAATCATACTCTCTATCTATACCTCATCTCTATACTATCTTACTATATTACTCGTTTACTATCTACTACCTCTATCACATTACTAAAACCATAATATTACTGTGTCTCCTGCGCTCTTACTTCATCTATCTCTATCTCATACATACTTACTCTCTCTAGTTCTATAGTCTCTCTCTCAATCTATACTCTATCTATCTCCTATCTTATATTCATAACTCTCTCTCTCTCATCTCTCTTCTCAATCTCATCTCTACTCTCTATCTCTCCTCTATCATCATCTCTACTACTCTCTATTCTTCATATTCATTATGTGCGATACTTAACAATATATATTATATGATTGATATTTATATTCTATATATATAATTATAAGCAAATAGATAAATTTATATATTCATTATATATATAATAATAAATATATGTTTTTTATATTATATAATTTAATTAGCTTTATGTATAATTTTGACGATAATAAGATTAAAACAAATTTTTTAAAAATAGAAAACATTATTTCTTAAAAAGTTAATTATTATAATTATTATTCGCAGTTTATTAAATAAAGATATAAAATGTGATAGCATAAATTAATTATACTAATAATATGATACTTTAATTAAAATAGTTCCAGTATATAAGCGTAATGAATAATAGCGGATGTAAAATCTCAACCTATATTTGCACCAAGTAGTATGATAATGAGTGATACATTTGCTCGTAATAACACATCTTTAAGATATCGTGTGACTCAATTATTATTATATATGGCTATATTCATAAAATATTTTATAAATATTTTTAAATATATCTTATATAATGATTTATATTTTAAATGTTAAGTCTATTGAACAATTAGTTAATTAGCATCATATAATATATGTTATATATAATCGGAATATAAAAAGTAATAAATCTATATTATATTTTCTACAAACTATATTTTACTGAGGCTATGGTTCATATATAAACAAATCATAAAATATAGTCTATTACAGTAGATAACAATACTAAAGTATAGGAGAGCGATTTAAGTCCAGAAAAAATAAATGATAACTAACATACGAAGAAGTATAAGATATATTAGTTATTAATTATTCAATAAAAATATTCATATACTCATTACGTACTATTATAGGTTTATAATTAGTAAAAAAAAAAGAAAAATAAAAAAATAAAAAAAATAGAAAATATAAGATAATATATATATTATATAAATATATATATTTATATATAATTATATATATAAATATTATAACACACTACACACAAACACACATATATATATATTATTTATATAATACACACAATAAAATACATGATAGTCCTCCCCCCCCCCTTCACACACGCACGCTGGCTATCAGATCCAGCATGAGGAGTGACTTGAAATCCGCAAGATGATGGACTGGTCTCTGCAGTGGTAGAATTTGGGGAAATTAATGTGAGAAATGTCCTATTCCTTCCAGATCCTCACCGTCGATTTATTTTCCGAAGCGGCATGTCTTCCCCACCCGAATCTCCAGGTAGAAATGGCTTCAAAAGAGAGCATTTCGTTGCATGATAAAGATCGAAATCACAGGAGGGCTTGCATGATAAAATCTTTTTTTATATACTTTCTCTTTCTCATTCACAGGATAAAGAGGGAGTGAAAGTGTGAAAAGAGGGAAAAGGAAACAAAACGAAAATGAATTCTAAAACAATCTAAACCACGGAATGTTTAAATCTCAATACATTTAAAGTGAAATTAATGAATAAATAAATAAACTATGCATTACTTTCGTAACCGATTTATATATTTATTAATCATATAAAACACAGTGCAATATAAAGCGTATCTTACGATTATTGACTATAGTTAACCTGCTTTAACATTCAAGCCACGTTTCCTATCTAGGTATAAAATAGTATTTTTTAACTCTATTGAGACATTCACAATCTTCGTAACTAATTTACATTCATAAGTTATATATATATAATATATATATATATATTATATATATATATATATGTATATATATATATATAAATACATATATATTATATATATATATATATATATATATTATATATATATATATATAAAGATAGATAGATAGATAGATAGATAGATAGATAGATAGATAGATATATACAATATATATATACATATATATATATATATAATATATATATATATATATATATAATATATATATATATATATGTATAATATATATATTTATATATATATATATAATATATATTATATTATATATATATATTATATATATATATATATATATATATATATATATATATATATATATATATATATATATATATATATAATATATATATATATTATATATATATATGCACACACACACGCATGCACATAAACACACACACACACACACATACACACACACACACATACATTATATATATATATATATATATATATATATATATATATATATATATATATATATATATATATATATATAAATATATGTCAAGCAGTGGGGCTGACGCTTCCAATCACGAGGGTTCCTCATGGCGAGCCGTCAGGCACGCTTTCGGAGTATCTTTAACTCCTCGAGACAGGTCTGGTCTATCTACCCAAGCCACCAGGGAAGTCTCAGGAAGAGACAGCTTGATGGGCAGAGTCACTCAGGGGAAACGAACTAGGTGCCTGAAGATCCTGTGTTGGCAGTAACAAATTATGTAAGCAACAGGTCATATGCCGGTCTCACAGTGTAGTCGTTAATTGGACACAACTGCACCTCATGACCTAGCGCAAGGACTTGTTGCAAAAGGTATCAAGACGCGCCTCCTAGGCATAAGATAGCATCTAGATTTTACTTCCATGAAGCAAAATTGGATGTATCAGGGCCTTAA